TTGAAAGTGAAAAACAATGACAAAAATGTCACAGTGTGTAAGCTATGTTCACTTTAACTCTTGGCTATCTTGACAGCTTAAATTATTTGGGTCAAATCTACTTTAGAAAGAGAGGAAACAATTCCCTTTGAAATCAGTCAGTATTGTGTGCTTTTTCTTTAGATATAAATTTACACTTCTTATCAAAACACTTTCATCAATGAGGAAAATACCCTAGCCTACTTACTTGCCAAATAAGCCTTGCTTAAATAAATTCAATTTAATGCTACTTGATAAGTAAAAAATATGAAAACAATACATGAAAATAGTTAGGTAGAAAAATCCTCTAACGTGAGAATGATAAAGCAAATACGCTGACATTCCCGTAATCAAAAGCACACAATAAGACTGTGAGATCAAACCTGTTCTGGAACATTTTTGCAGTCAGCACCAGATATGTTAAAATACATACTGAAGCTTCAGATGTCTAGCCCAGAACTACGAAGTATTGAAGCAAATACATTTCTGCATTTCACTGTAAACATTCATCTTTTATTTTAGTTAGTACCAACACGAAAACAAACTATCATGATTATAATCAACTAAGGAAGAACAATTTTACTCCAGTGACATACAAACCCATATGCCATGAAAAAATGTTATTAAAAATATCTTGTCTGGTAAGAAAGAAATTAAAATAGAATAGGAAAAACAAGGCCAGAGCAATGAAAGGCAGTGGCTCTCTTGCTTTAAAGACATACTGTGGATTGACTCCTGAAAGCCCAAGTTAATATTTACTAACTCTAAGCACATTCAATAGCTTCAGATTTTTTTCTTTTAGTGGGGCCACTGCTCCTTTTGTTTGAAGACAGAGCAAAGCTGTGAATAATGCCTAAGAGCAAAACTAAACCAGAAGTAAATGACTTTTTTATGTGAGACCTTCAACCTCAATTCCAGTTCCCCAGAGGCCATCTTTGACTCCTTCTCAAGTAATACTCTCACAGATGTCAACTGGGGATAAAGATGCTTCCACAAAGAAACTGATGAAGAAACTGCTGCAGAGAAAGGTGAGCTTTCAAGTCTCTTCTGACACTGGTGAAGGGAAGTTGGGGCAGTGTCATTCAGAATGGCCAATTCAAAGAAATGCACTATAGGAGGTGACTACAGACAGCAAGGGCAAAAAACACAGCTGTTCAACAAGTCAGTGAAGGCTACTGCTCAGCTATAGTGATCAAAGTTAATTCATTTTGGGTGTTACACAACACTTGCAGAAATGTTCAAAATATATTTGTTATCATATCATGTTACTGGACCCTTCTGAAGACTTGTTCTGACCCAGTAAAAAACCCCATATAGGTGTATTAGAAAAAAAGCCATTTCACATGGATATTTTACTGTTTCTCTCTGTATCATAACAGAGTCAGGGAGCAAAGGAAGAAAAATCAGACTTTTTATTGTCTTAGTGCCTGATGCAAGCAGTGCAAGTATTAAGGTTGCTAGGAGTTAAGAAGGAACATCCCAAGAAAGGAAGGAAATGAACCTCTTCCCTGATACGGACTGAATATTTGAACAGAATTTTTATTAATATTTGATCCCTACTCTGAAGTAAAATTTTCACTTCTTTAAATGTGTATTTTGTTTGAATTGAAACTTTTTTGACATCCATTGTGATATTTCATAATATAAAGGTTATGTATGTGTTTACAGTATATACAATAATTTTTTAAGTTAACGTTTTATATTTCAGTTTAATACAGCACTACTTTCCTCCATCCCCGTACTCTCGCAAAAGTTAGAACTGGACTTTTCCATTTCACAGCTAAATGTGAATTTTAAAACTTATGTTCGTTGCTATGGTGTATACAGTATTAATTCCTTATATGAGTTTGTATCTATGTTGTTCATTGCATATCTCAGCATTTATATGTATGAGACACCTTCCCATCTGTGGCTCTTGAAATGCATTCCCTCACTGTTTTCACTCTGACTGGTAACATGAGGTGGTTTTGCCCTTTGGTCATAAAATAGTCAACAAGGCCTCTGAGATAGCTTTAGTTAATGAAATATGAATACACCAAATAAAAAAAAAAATGCTAGGGATATCATGTTGCTGGCACACCTTCAGCTCTGGAAGATAACTGAATGGATGGAGCTTTCATAATTTATGAAGGTTTAGAGTAGATCTCAGCATAACACAAGCATGTCCTTGCACACCATTCATTGATCAAAGCAAAAAATACATACAAATAAAATGCATACCATAAAGATGTAATTAAAAGTACAACTGTCTAATAAAATACTGCACATTCAAAAGGTAACATCTCTCTTTTTCATCCTCTTACAGGGTGAAACAAAATGCTTATCAAAAGATGATAATTCAATTGGCTTGACATGAAATTTATCAATGACATAAAAAAAAATAAACTATTTTTCCATATTTTTAAAAATAATACTTGAAATACTTGATTTGTTTCGCATAAGTCAGAGATTCACAGCATCACAAGGAGTGCTTTTGTACAGAGGCCTTTGCCTTTGTGCAAATTTTGTAGTTTTATCTTTTTTTTTAGAAGCACCTACATAATCCAAGATGACATTAAATACAGCATAGCATATAGCAAGTTATTATGCTGTTATTATGTTTTTGTCATCATATTTACCAATTTGGTATACTATTATTTTATTTGCAATAACAGTCAATAGATCCTTGCTACACCCTTGATAATATTATTTTATAGTAATTATTTTTCTTCCCTAATCTATTTTATAGAAGTAAAATTCAGAAAGGCTTTGACTCATGTGTGTGTCTCTAGAAATCTAAATTCACATACAGCTGTACAAGACAAAATAGATTCTAGACTAAAATATTTATCTTACAATTACAGATTAATTAAAGTTTTATCGTTTGAGACAATGATAATTCTGGAGATAAGTTAGATTGCTAACACCAGCGCAAAGAGTTTGTCAGAAATTACTACTGCCTTTTAAATTCATGATGTCAGGAAAAATGCAGAAGGCAGAGGAAACATTCATAATGAACATTCATAAAGAACGTTCATAAAAAAAAAGTTACTCCCATATGTCATTGAAAAGCTAGCAGCTGTGTTGATGAAATCACAATTCCTTTTGGTGACATCCATATGGAATGTAGAGCTTTGACATTACCATTCAGTAAAAGCTGTGGTCTGATTTTCTGCATGTAACTGTATTAGGCAATTGTTAGTTCTATTTGATACTTCATTCAAAAATAAAAATGTTATGGGGAATATATCCAGAATTATATTTGGTGTGAAATATGTTGTAATGGACTTTGTTCCTGATGTAAATTGAGTCACAAGAGTCATGGATTTTTTGAGTCATAGAGTGATCCAAGTTGGAAAGGACATGATGAGGTTTCTCATCCACCCTCCCGCTCAAAGCAGGATCAGCTATAAGCTCACATCAGGCTGCGGAGGTCTTTGTTCAGTTAGGTCTCAAATACCTCCAAGAATGGACACTGCAGAGCCCTTTTGGACAGTCTGCTCCAGTGCTTGACTGTCCCAAGGACGGCTTCATATAGAAGTTTACATCAGAATTTTTCTGTCTAAACTTCTCTCAAATTGACTTTCATTTTCCGCTTGTTAACTATCACAAACGTTCTGAATTTTTATTTCTGTTGTGTCCTTCTTGGGACTTTGGGGTTTGAGTGAAAAGTCATGACAACTTTGGGAATATCTTGAGAATGCCATTCTGCTTCCTTTAGATCCTCATAGATCTTGTGATCTCTAAATCCTTTTAAGAACGCCACTTTGTAATTCTTCAAGTCTGAAAACAGCCCTTTTGCATCAGAAGAAATTTGAAACGATGAAGGTGCCCATTGCACAGGGAATTTCACACTATTTTCAGAACAACTCAGTAATCCAGTGATAGTCACCAACAATAACAACATACCCTTTTCCCACACCACAAGTGATGAAATGCCCTTGATGTCCTGCCATGAAGATAACAGGGACATTATGATCTAGTCAATTCTTATAATCAAGGTGCACAAATAAAATTATATGCAAGACATACTGGACAGCCATAATAATTGTTTCTGAATTAATTAAGCTATAGATTAGCATATGACATACTCAGTGTTGACAATAAGTGGAAAAGAAGATGCTATTTCCTCCCCAGGGATGCCTAATGCATTTTGAAGTACTAAGAAAAGTCAAGAGAAAAAACGGGGCTGGGAGAATCAGAAAAGACTAAGGGAGAGCTACAGATCATTTTAATACAGGCTTCAAATACGGGATATCATACGTATCAAAACAAAATTGCATACAGAACAAGTTACTGCATATCTGGTATTTAATTCAAAATTTCTGATTTGTGGCTATCTTTATTTGCTATTTCTTGCTGTCATTTGTATAAAAACATGGTGAATAAACACCTTTCATATTTAAGGTGAAAATATTATTTGATATCATAAAATGATATATGGAACAAATGGATACTGAAAAAGAGTAAATAAATGACAACAGGCTGGACCTTTTATGTGGCTTATCATCTTTCGTTAACTGTCTCACCTGACACTACAAAAGTGAGGTTACTAGAATTTCTTCTTTAAGTTAGGCTAATGAAGGTAGCTCAGAGTCTCCCAGTAGCCACAAACACAAATATACAAACAGCAAAGGCAAGAGACTTATTTTTAAAAAGTAGATTATACTTCAGACTTTCTATTTTATGATATCTATAATTCACCTTAACAACAAATGAGATTGTCAGGGCTCTAGGTGCACTAATAGGCCATAACTGCCATGAGCAATTCCACCAGGGCCCGCCTTGCCACATCCTTGCCCGTGGGCCCTATTTAAGCTCAGGACTGGGGAGCTGTTTCTTGTCTGCTGCACAGGAGGTGTGCCTGTGTGGAGCCTCAATTCTAGATGTGACTGCTGCATGGACCCCAGCTCACTGCTGTATGTGGCTGCTGGTAGACTCTGCTGCCAGCTGCCTGCTGTAGCTAGATCCTGTGTAGACTGTGCCCCAATGCGAAGTGTCACTAGCCTGCGCAGGGATTGTGCTTGGCTTCTGGCTTGTAGCTCTTCATGGAGCAGCACTGCTCTTGCTGACAGAGATGCAGATCCAAAATCAGTAAGTACCTCCAACGGGACTGATACCATCCCTGGTCACAGAATGGCATGGTGGAGAAGCCAGTCCTCTAGGTAAAGCTGAATGTGAGTGAGTTTTCTGTCTCTCATCCTAAGTAGCTCTGCTGTCAGCTCAAGTAAAAGTTTCTTGCTCAGAGCATCTTCTGGGAACTATTTTTTTTAATGACATTTACAGCGTTGAGGATTTCAGTCAGTAAAAGCAGTATTCAGCAGTACAAAAACCTAATACCATGCGCTGCCCCCTCCTTTCCTGACAACAAAAAGCTATAAAGTATCCACTTGAAAAATACCTGGATGGTGGAGTGTTTGTCATATGCCAGCTCCACCCAGCTCTCCTTTAAACACCTAACAAGGTTTGAATTCCCTGATAACAGAGCATTCAAACGTTAAGCACATAGCTCTTTCATAAGAACTGCCATTGTTGCATTCAGTGTCACACAGAAGTGGGAGGTTTAGTGCAGAGAGGTCACAAGATGTTTTGTCATGCATTTCAGCTGGCTTTGGTCTCAGAAGCTGAAACGCTATGGTAGCAGGAATGCTGACAGCCAGCCTATGCAAGCATTCCCTTCATTGCTCGCGTTGTTGGAGCAGCACCCTATGATAGCAGTGAATGTTAAGAGGCTATAAATATGGCAAGAATTCAGAGAGTAGAGAGGCTTTTGAGGCTTCCTCAAAATTTGGACGATCATTTAAATATTATTGGGAAGGCTTGAAGGTTAATGCAACAGCTGCTTTTTCATTGGAGGGTCAAGCAATAGCAGAAAAAAATTAATTTCATTGTTCATTTTAGAGTAGCTACCGATTGAATGGTGAAGTTGACTATTTTTGTACATCCTGTTAAAGTATACACATGTAAATAGAAATTTTCTGCATTGATGCTTTGGTTAGCTACTCTGTCACAACACCTGCCTCTTTAGTACTTGGCATATATGGTAGTCGCTACACTCAAGTACTCTGTGGAGACACCTGAACTCTACAAGTTACCATGGCATTTTACCTCACTCTGCTGAAGGGTTCAATTCCTGGAGCAAGCTTACTTGGCTGTGATGGTCCCTGTACCTCAACCAGGTTTATCAGAGGTAGCTTGTCTTACACTTTGTATAACAAATATCCTTGTTATTTACCAGCTATTGGAAAGCAAGATACTTGCCAAGTGTTTTAATATTCCATATCTAATGGTTAGGAAGGGTGACTATTACACTTAAAAATCAAATTATTGCTAAATGAAAATGTTCAAAGTATCTGTATCATAGCTTCCTCTGATCTTCTTCACATTATAAGCATGGTTGGAGATTTTTAATTTTACACCATTTTATTTCCTCTTTTTCAGTGTGGTGCAAATCATTCCACTGAATAGATTACATTCAGGAAACTGAATGGATTCCCTGATGTCTCTATTTTAGAAACCTTTTGACTATGTTTCATACAGTAAAGAAAACAATACACATTCAGTGTTACATCATGACATAAAAGCACCTATAAAACTGACTGCTGGGATTTTAAAATGACACTTAAATCCTGATTTATTTCCCTGAATGCATCAGTTCTGAGAATCAGACTGAGACAGGTGTCTGGCTACAACTGTAGTTTAACTACACAAATTTGCATCTTCACTTGTTCAATGAAGTCCCAGTTTCAAAGTCCAAAAATTACTTGGCAGTCACAAAAAAAAAAATTAACAAATTTATGCTCCAGTTTGGTGTCATGATAAGCATAAGGAGAGATTTATGGAAATAGAAAAGCTAGTAAGTATTCCCACATAACAGCTGAAAATAACATTTGACTCAAGATATAAGAAAAAAATATGCTGATACTCAAAACAGAAAAATGCATATTTATGGCTAAGTGTAGTTTACGAATACATCATCTAAATCCTTAATATTGATGTTCCGAATCAATTACAAACCTTCCACTTACATCTATGGCAGCAGTACTATATCCATTGTTAGCGAGTGCTGTGAAGGAATGAATTTACAAACAAGAAACCCCTTTCTTACCACCAAAAAAAAAAATCCTCATAGTAACTACCTTAATTCCCAGGTAGAAAATCTGTATTAAGTGGAGATAAAACTGAGAGTATGTTTCTTAACATACTAAAAGTTTTAGTAATTGTCCCAAATTAAGTATTAAGGTTGCAGGAAATTCAAAGATGAGGTTGTACTTAGAGAAAGCCCCAATACTCTGAACTAACCATGGTCTATTTTTTTCCTCCAAATCCTGTTAATCAATTCTATCTTTTGTGTTTGTATTTGTGTAAACCATTTAGTTTCAGTTGGTTGAAACTTGTTTTAGAGTAATGGGGTGCTCAGGCCATTAAAATTTTGTCCATGCCTGCATGTACAATACCACTTAATTTTTCAAGACATTTTTCATCTCTGTTTGTCCTATCTATTGTAAAATGGCTTGTCTTACAGTGAAGACTCCCTGCCCAGTAGGAGCTATGGATTTACAGGAAGTTATTGTTGCCTTTAAGATATGAAGATAATCACTATTGTTTGACTTGCCAATGTTTGTTTATGATCCTAGAGAAACAGAGGTGAAAAAGACAATGTCAAGAGAACAAAGAAAAAGGAAACATATTAAGAGAATATGCTTGAAATAAAAATATCGAAACATGTTCATATTTGATGCATTCATAGCAGAAAGACATGGCCTATTATGTTCTCAAAATTAGTATCAAAATTGCATTTTTTAAATTTTTCTGTGGGGTTTTTGTTTGTTTTTATTGTTGCTGTATGTTGGCTCCCCCCCCCCCCCCCTCCACTTCCCCCCCCACCCGAGAAATATACACTGGTGATTGGCATTTGCTCCTGAGCCCTGGTTCCTATCCGTGGATCTTGAACAGTATAAGGTGAATGCAATTCTTTGGTACCAGACATGGATGTACCGCTATGCAGGCATGCATGAGTTCACAAGCATTTGACACATGAACGCAGTTTAGCTTGTGATCTTGCCGTCTGTATTTCAGGGTTAATACTTTTTTATTTTGAAGCTCATAATGCATAATGGAGCTGAGCAGCAATTTGCTGTTATGATGTAGTAGCTATGAGCTTCATATTAGATGTAATTGAAAGCTGTGTTGCTTTTCTTAGGTATAGATTGTCTTCAAATCTGTAAATCTGTCCAGTCTGAAGTCTAGAAATCCGACCTCCCAGAAAGTTGTAACAAGCCTTCTATGCTGTGTTCTCACCCTGCTTCCTTTCATGCTCTGCTCTTTCTTTCCCTTCCTTCACTGTACTCTCCTATATCTATGCATTCTTGTCTGCTACTCAGCTGATTTGCTGGGTAGCTCCCTTTGAAATCAGTAACAAAGCTCCACTTGAGGCTCAGGACACTTTTCTGATTATAACATTTTTAGCCTTTTTAGTTGTAAAAGAGTTACTAGGTCTATTCAAATAATGAAATGAATTTTAGTATGCTAATGAATAGATTGACCTTATTTCCTAAATACAAGAAATTCCTGGAAAGAGACCACGCTTACCACATAACATACTTTCTTGACAGAGTAGGCTACAAAACTATGTCTGTGGGCCAGGCCAGTTAACTTAAGCTGAGAAACCAGATATTCTCTCTAAAGCTTTTCTTTTCTTGTGTTAAGAAGAGCTACTTGAAAGGGTAAGTTATCTATTCTGAACTATTTTGACTAAAATCTCTGTCCTGGATTATGTAAAGCAAGTATAACACTGTAGTCCTAGCTGCAGTAGCGCAGCATTAGTTACCTGGTTTTTGATGTAATTTTGTGAAAGCCCATAAGTTGTGAAAGTTATCTGATATTCTAAACAGCAATGTCCAAAGATAGGTGGATTAAAAAAAACAAAACAAAACAAACTGCAAAAATAATCACATCTATGGTTCTTTCCCCCTTCTCTCAAATGAACGCAAAAGCATAGAAGCATACTGCTGAGGCTTTTGGAAAATATGTAGATAATCAGCTCTGCCATGCACTCACTTCTCCGACAACCCACAAGCAAAATTTGCTTAGCTCACAGTTTTCCAAAAATTTGACTAGAGCCTTTTGTATGTGGCTACAAAAGAAAGCAACAAATTCCAGCGCTGCAATACATAGTAACCTGACCATAAACCTACAAATGGAGTCAGCAAGCATGAGGATTGCTGATACAGAACAATAAAAATCGTGGTGGGTTGTTTTTCTTTTCCAAGACATTAATAAAGTCAGAAGGTAGTCAGCCCTGCAATAAAACGCTTTAAAGTTTATGAGTATACTTAAACCTAAGTAGAGCTTTCTCTGATAATCAGACACTGAATGTATTATTTCAGTGTGCTTCTGCATGAAAGGACTATAAATTGATGTAGAGGCCCACAGATGTATAGGGCCATTAAGCAAAATATCAGGAAAGGAAAACATGAATGCTACATTACGATCACCTGAGCTTTCCCCAATGAGTCGGAATGATTCCTTCATAGGTAAGCCTTCAACTGCTTTCAATTTATAACTAACTTTGCATTCATGTCCTGAATTTCTGTACATGTGCTTGAGCTAGAAGGTAGTGGGTAGTCTAGCAGAATCAGTAAATTGAGAGCTCAAGATCCTCTCTACAACAGCTAATCCTGTAGCAGCAATAAGCTTTATAAAGCTGCAGGTGTCTGCACCTTTCCAAAGCTTGACAGGGTGTTTCAACAAAGCAGACCCTGAAAACTTAGAGATACTCCATCTCCATAAATTTTAGGAAAATTCTTTTCATATTAAAAAAAAACAGGAAAAAAAAATGGTGGTGGACAAAATATATCTGCTTTCTATTTAAGGCATGATAAAAAGTCCAATGGTTTTGAAACAGATCAGGGTAGTAGAAGCAATGTAAAAGAAATTAAGGACAGATATATTGTTAGTAAATCACAAAGAAGTTGTAATGAATAAGGTTTTTCAGTGTCTGACAGACCATAAGGAGAAACACAGCCTATCTTTTAGTCCCACATTTTAAACTATGCATGCTATGATTATGGTCATAAACAACAGATATTGTG